ATATATATATGCATTTTTTTAAAAGTGCAGATACTGGGAAATTAGTGGGAAGGGGCAGCTGCAAACAGGGCGGAGCCAAAAGGACCCACAAGAGACTCTTTTGAAGAGTAGCCTCCATTAGAGGAAGGAAATCTATTTTAGAGAGAGAAGGGATAGGAATACACCAGGACCAGAGATGTAATAAACGACATAATCTGTTTACTCTTCCTTTTCCAAAGAGCAAATATTGGCATTTGCAGCACACTGGCACTTCACATACTGCATCCACACAGACACAAATGTCAATGCCGTAAACAGAGCTGTTTGTGCTTATGAATATTTTATTAAAGAGAAATTAAAATCCAGCCAAAAAAGGGGGGGTTATCGACTACCAATGAACCAGACAACCTCTTCCAGAAAATTGATTGTAATTGGCATAAAATGGAAGTAACTCACAATAATATATTGAATTAATAGAGCTGGGAGATGATTAGGAATTAGCATTTAAAAGCCCTCGTTTCGAAACCATCACAGGAGATTATATTTCCTTAATGTGTGCATGCAGCCATACAAGAAAGAATAGTAAAAGGGGAAAAAGCCTTAAAATGCAGATTAGGCAGACAGATGTAGAAGACTTATTTTTTCCAAAAAAGAAGGAAAAAAATCTGTAGGAAATAAACTTAGCCCTGTTTTTACATACTATTCCTACAGTCCCAGGAATGATCAACCTCTGCATACACAGGAGGAAATGACAGCAAATGCCAACCTCTTGAAAAACTTGTACACTACATGCTTCTGTCCATGTCTGTGTGAGCCGCACAGACACTTTGAAATTTCCAGGTCATAAAAGCAATAAAATCGCAGAGAGCGCGAGCCCAGCTGAGAGCTCATCAATGAATTCCACTCCTGTTACACTCCATATTTTTGACAGATGCTTTCCAGCATGCCTCTCAAAGGCTCTGCCATAATCCCAGCGCTGGGACTGGGAAACCTGGTCGCTTGCTGGGGTAGGGGTAGGGACTGAGTTCACGCAAGGAGGATTAAAGAAGTCATCAGCAGAAGGGGATGAGCGAGGAGGTGTATACACAAAAGATGGTGCTGCAGCACGTGCCAGCCAGCTGGACGGGCATGCCTGAAAGGGGGCACGGGAAGCCTTCTAGTCATACTCACACTTCTGCCTTTCTGCCAGCGGTCCCCTGCAGCAAGCCGAGAGTCCGCAGGAGATTTCTTTGAAGTCTATGTGATTGTCACGGTTTTCATCAAAGGCGTTAAAGAGGCCTGCAAGTGGTCCCAAAGCAGAAGGGTGAGCTTGTTTCAGTATAGATAGGGCTCCGTTTGACAATCAAATCATAATTTAACTAGCTGAGATACAGACTAGCCTTAGCAACTTTAAGATGAGTGGCCATGGAATTCTGGGAGTTGAAGTCCACTCATCTTAAAGTTGCTAAGGTCGAGAAACACTGGGCTAGCTTTTTGCTATGCACACTGACTCTTCGCAATATGCCCCCAAAGAAGGAAGTGTCCAGCCAGTCTCCTGTTCCCGGAAACCATGGCTTAACACCCCGGTCTTTTTCCTGTTAATGGTAGTTTCTCAGTCCATTTGAATGGTATCTTACCAAAGGAGGAATGCAGTCAGTCTCAACCACCTCTCAATCATTTTTACTGGTTTATTTTACCCATTACAATTTCTGATTTTCTGAGTCTCTAACATTTAAGTAATTACAGAATAGGGCTCCTTCTGAGATTCTTCCCAGAGGGCAACTGGTAGAAATGACTCTCTGGAAGGAGAGCAGGAATCCAGATGGTGCCAGCTTCCACAATGAGTTTTCCTTTCTCTTTCCCACCATGCATCACATGTCAAGTTTAATCAGGTTTCAGCTCCAATCAGCCCAACTCCAGTACACACAAAAAGAAGAGGATGTCAGCACCACTAGGCAGACCAGACCAGAAAATCAACTTCACAGGAAGACTAAAAATACACTATTGAGATGGGTTATAATAACAGAATTTTGCAAGTCTGATGGTACTGTACTTTCCCTCCTTCTTATGCCACAGTGAATCAGGGAGGCGTTTGTCTGAGTCACTTCCAAATACTATCTTGTTTCCTAGGACTTAAAGAATGTTTCATCCCTCTTTATCTAGGTAACAGTTCTTGCCTATTTCTGTCAAGGTCGCCTCCCTTATTCTCAACAAGGGGAAAAGGAACAATGTTCAATTTGGTAACCTCCAGATGTGTTACAACTAACATTTCCAGAATTCCTAGCTAGCAAACCTAGAAGCTCTTGTGGGAAGATACTCAAGATTTTCCTCCTATCAAGCATTTATTTTTTCATTGCTTCCTCTTCTATAGGGCAAATTATCCCCCTCTCCTTTTGGCTTCTATGAAGTGTGCCACCTTCATACACTTTTAATGGAGTTGTTACAAGTTTAGTATTTGTTGTCTACACAGAGCTTCTGAGGTGGGACAAACCTCTAGGAGCACACATGTTGGGACTGACATGGCCAGCTGTGAAATCCACACAATTCCATTAAATACTGAAACAAAAACAATAAGAGATCATCAAAGGACTTTACATACCTTCACTCAAAGATGGATGAATGGGAGGGGAAACCAGGAGGCCAAATGTTTCCAGATCAAAACGCCCTGTTCTTGATTGAGCTTTCAGGAGCCAATATCGTTTCTCAAGATCAATGATATCTGATTCTTCCACTGCATAAAAGCCAAGACGATCAAAGTCAGGCAAATGAAAATTGTACCTTTAAAGTCAAGTGTTTTGTGTCAGTCACTTTATGTAGGTAACAAGCTAAAAGGAGCAGTTCCAGTAATATGGATTGTTTTATGGGAGAAGGAACAGAGAGCCGTATGTGGAGTCCACAGTGCAGAGGAAACCAAGTTTGCTCATCACCAACCAATATTTTTGACAGGCAACAACCTAGTCCATAAAATCATCAAATTGGAAGATGCCACTGAAGATGACAAATCCAATCCTCTACTCAGTGAAGGAATCCAAACCAAAGCACTCCTGATAAATGTCCATCCAGCCACTGTTTGAAAAAGCCCAGTAGAGGGGAGCCCACCATCATCTGGGTAAATTGGTTCCACCGTCAGAGGCAATGTGAGCCAGAGCACTGGCAGATACATCTGTGTACCCCTACAGTATGTCAAGTCACCAAAGAAGGCAATGAAAAAAATATCCGTACATACAGTTGCAAGAAAAATATCCATACATACAGTTGCAAGAA